CATCCTACACATGAGAAAGCCAAGGCAAAGTGCCACAGTAAGTTATCTGCCCAAGGGCATATAGGTGGTAGGTGGTGAAGCCAGAGCTGAAATCTAGAGTCTAGGCTCCTATCTGCTGCTCTCTTCCACCAAGTCCTGGTGCTTTAACACCCTCCTCACCTATGACACAAACCAAAGAGCTCATTAATGCCTCATGCCCTTAAGAAGGCTAGGTTTGGCAGGGCTGCTATCCAGAGCTTCTCCAGGGCAGCTAGCTTTCAGCTGGCCTCCTTTGGATAAGAAGAAAGTGGGCTTTGGGCATAGAGTGTCAAGGATTTGCAAGGATTTGCATGACAGCACAGCTGGGCCGCCTTTGGCGGAAAAAAATGAAAACCACAGCCTTGGTCGGGAAGTCAGAGAACCCAGCCATGAAGTGAAGGGTCTCGTACTTAAATGACCTGCAGTCTCTGGGTCAGGGACTAGAAAAGGGTGGTAAGATCAAGGGAGGGGCCAGGTCTCCAGTCCCTCACACCTCTTTCTCAATGCCAAAATCAGCTGCCCTCAGCCCTTCCCTTCGCTACAAACACTTCCAGGGATGGAAGAAAGCAGAGGTTTCAGGGAGCAGACTCAGGGCCTGCAAGTCCTTCCCACCACATTCTCCCCTTTGTTCACCCAAATCAAGCCATGCTAGCCTCCTCTCTGCTCCTTCAACTTGCCGAACTTGTTCCTACCTCAGGGCCTCTGCACATACTCTTCTTGCTGCCAGACACCTGCATTTTCCAACTATTTTGCATGGCTGGCTCCTTTTTATCCTCCCAGTCTTGGATCAAATGTTACCTCCTCAGACAAGCCCTTACTGATCCCACTCTTTAAGGTACCCCTCCCAGCACACACACATATCAGAGTGCCTGCTTTTTTTTTTTTCACAGCATTACCAAGTTTCTTCATAGCACTACCGATTACCTCTGATACACACTGTTTCCTTCTAGTCTGTCTTCCGCCACCAGGCCTTGCACTCCAGAAGGGCAGGTACTGTGTTTGTCTTGTCCTCTGTGTCCTTGGAGCTTACAAAAGTGCTCGGCACAGATTAGAAGCTCTATGAATATTTGCTGAATGACTACCTAAATTATCTTCTTGAGGGTTCACCAGGATGATATGCTCTAGTTTGCTATAGAGTTGTCTGTGCCAGAGATATTTGAGAGTTGTCCACATGAAAGATATTTGTAGACTACCAGACCAGCATTATTCCAAAGCAACCTAAAGCACAACTGTAACAACAATAATTACAATATAGTGATGCAGCTAATATTTAGTGAACACCTACTCTGTGCCAGAAACTGTGTAAGGTGATTTAGTAGTTTGAACCTCATAAATAAGTTTCCAGGTATAGTAACTTATTCTTTTCTTCATTTTACAGAGATGGACATGGAGGCTCGGAAAGCATGTCACTTGCCCAAGGTCACATTTTAGCACTTCAGTAAGGATCCAATACAGTGTGGGGCCCTTACCCACTGCCCTGCCCTGCCCTACAGAAGACTCACGGCGATGCTCCCCGAGATTGCAACAACACGGCACACCTGGGAAAGCGACTCATTGTTCTCACAGATTCAGCCAGGCTGGGTCTTTCTTCCAACTCCTTCCACAAAAAACACACAGTTCCTCACAACTCCAGAAGCTCTAATTCTAACTGTATCTGTACCGAGCAAGCTTACCGATCAGGGTTGATTTTACAGCAGTGCTGAGCGGCCGTTTTTGACTGAAGTCACTGGTTCTCAGGCTCAGAGGTTGAACTTCATCTCCCCTAGAATTGAGCTTGTTTCTCCTCATACTTGAAGCAAAGGCTGAATTATTCTTCAAGTCAAAATTATCATATAACACCTAAGAACAACAGCTGACTCCTACACCTGTACCTGTGTGCCAGATACTTTAAAATTCCAATTCATTTAACCCTCATAGCCACCCCATAGGATAGGTCCTATTATTATCCCCACTTCACAGATGAGAAAATTGAGGTCTTGAGAGGTACTGTCCCTTGCCTAAGGTTACCCAGTAAGCAGCAGAGTTGGATTAGAACCCCAACCTGTGGCTCCAGAATCTTCTTTTAATCATTATCCACTGCTGCCTCTCTAATTCTGATTTGACACCTGCTCAAAAGATACTGCAAGTCAATTCTGTTTAGCTGTTAACAGTACCACATGAGCCACTCATTCGCTCATTCATTCAGATATGTTTTAAAAACCTATTGCATGGTCAGGATTGGACTAAAGGAAGTAGATATGAGGCTCCCACCCTCCAAATGTTGGGCTTGGGGAACTAATGACTGAAAAGACAATTTTATAATATCATACTTAATACTGAGAAGTTTGACACTTTCTGAGAACAGGGACAAACAAGGATGTCCCCTCTCACCACTGCTTTTCAACATCACAGCAACTGTCAACCCCTTTCACCTCATGACATAAACAAACGAAGTACTAAGTTCTGTGGCATACCAAAAAATATACTTTGGTATATAAAAAAAAAATCATCAGATCTGACAAAAGAAATAGGTTTAATTTGATTCACCCCCCACTGGACAGCTACTGTTGTGCCTGCTGCCGTCGTTTTCTAACGGGACAGTCTGAGGGGAACAGGCCAGTGCCCTGACTACAGTCAGGTGCTGCACACTTTAAACATTCTTGCGGCCTACCGGTTGAAAATTGCTGCAACAATATATTGAAAGTCCTAGTTAATTCAATAAAACAAGAAAAGAAAAAAAAAGATATACAGATAGGGAAGGAAGGAATAAAACCGTCTGTATTTGTGGATGACATGATAACCTACGTAGAAAATCCTAAAGATTTGAAAACAAAAAACTCCTGGAAACAATAACCATTTATAGCAAGATTATAGAATACAGGTTAATAATCAAAAGTCAATCCCTTTCATATATACCAGCAATGAACAAGTGGAATTTGAAATTAAAAACACAAAACCATGTACATTAACACCCTCCAAAATGAAATACTTAGGTATAAACCTAGCAAAATACACATAAGAGTTATATGAGCAAGACTATAAAACTGTGAAGAAAGATATCAAACAAGAACTAAGTAAGTGGAGAGATATTCCATGTTCATACATAGTAAGAGTCAATATTGCCAAAATACCAGTTCTTCCCAACTTGATCTACAGATTCAAAGCGATCCAAATCAAACTCTCAGCAAGTTATTTAGAGAGGCAAAGACCCCAGAACAGTCAGCACAATATTAAAGAAGAGCAAAGTCAGAGGACTGACACTACCTAACATCAAGACTCACTATAAAGTTACAGTAATTAAAACAGTGGTATTAGTGAAAGAACATCCAAATAGATCAATGGAACAGAATAAAGAGCCCAGAAATAGACCCACATAAATATAGTCAACTCTTCTTTGATAGAGGAGCAAAGGCAATACTAACAAAGCAAAGATAATAATCTTTTCAACAAATGGTGCTGGAACAAGTGAACATCTACGTGCAAGAAAAAAAAAAAAAAAAGACTCTGAATACAGACCTTACACCTTTCACAACAAGTTAACTCAAAATGGGTCTCAGACCTACATATAAAACATAAACTATAAAACTGGCCAATAACATAGGAGAAAACCTACGTGACCTAGGGCACAGCTATGACTTTTAGATACATCATCAAGGGCACAATCCATGAGAGAAAAAAATGGACAAATTGGATTTCATTAAAATTAAAAGATGATCTGTGAAAGACGTTGTCAAGAGAAAGAGAACACAAACCACAGACTCTTAAGAAAATATTTACAAAAATATCTTGGGCTGTTTTCCAAAATATATAAAGAACTCTTAAAACTCAACAAGAAGAAAACAAACAATTCAATTTTAAAATGGGTCAAAGACCTTAACAGACACCTCACCAAAAAAGATGTACAGATGGCAAATAAATGTATGAAAAGATGCACCACACTATATGTCATCAGGAAAATGCAAATTAAAAATGAGATACCTCCACACACCTATTAGAATGCCCCAAATCCAGGACACTGACAACACCAAATGCTGGCAAGGATGTAGAGCAACAGGAACTCTCATTCACTGCTGGTGGGAGTGCCAAATGGTACAGCCACTTTGGAAAACAGTTTGACAATTTCTTATAAATCTAAACATACTTCTTGGTATGTACCCAAGTGAGTTGAGTACTATGTCAACACAAAAATCTGCACACAGATGTTTATAGTAGCTTTATTCGTAATCACCAAAACCTGGAAGCAACCAAGATGTCATTCAGTAGGTGAATGGACAAACTGTGGTGCATTCAGACCATGGGAAGAAAAGATCAAGCCATGAATAGATATGGAGGAACCTTAAATGCTTATTACCAAGTGAAAGAGGCCAATCTGAAAAGACTACATAGTATATTGATTGATATTCTTGAAAACATAAAAATTTGGAGACAGTAAAAAGATTGGTGGTTGCCAGGAGTTAGGGGAGAGGGATGAACAGGTAGAGCACACAGGATTGTTAGGGCAATGCAAATACTCTGATACCATCATGGTGGACACATGTCACTATACATTTGCCCAAACTCACAGAATGCATAACACCAAGAGCGAACCTCAGTGTAAACTATAAACTCCAGGTGATAATAATGTGTCAACGCAGGTTCATTAATTGTAATAAATGTACAATTCTGGTGGGGGATGTTGATAATGCGGGAGCTCAAAAGTTAAAATATTTTAACTTTAGTTATAGTTAATAGGCTTAGTAATTAACACCCATAGAAAGCTGTTGTTCCAGGGACTGGAATGTATGAGTGGATCTACCCTGACTCTAAGAGGCCTACAAGCAATTCAACTTTTGTGCCCCAGGAGGAATGCAAGTGATCAAGATGGCATCTGAGCCACTGTGTTCCAGGAGAGAATGTTTGCTGACCTTGACACAGATAGAGAGTTGCTATCTCAGAATTTGGTCACTTCTGCGTGGGACCAAAGTGCGGCAGTGGGGCAGGGGCTGGCAACTCCAGTGTCAACCATGGCACACAGTGGCCTCATGGTACCTCTGATTGTGATGAGCATGTTCTGGAGCATCTTTGGCCTCCTGATCCCCTGGTTCATCCCTAAGGGTCCCAACCAGGAAGTTATCATTACCACACTGACAACCTGTTCAGTTTGCTGCTGTCTCTTTTGGCTGATTGCAATTCTGGCCCAACTCAACTATCTCTTTGGACCAGAGTTGAAAAATGAAACCAGCTGGTATCTCAAACATCATTGGCCCTGAAGAAGACCCACTGTCCAGTGCTCAGCCACTGAGGTCATTAAGAGAATTCCTCTAGATGCAAAGCCACCTCCAAACCCAGACTGCCTTCCTTGACTCGCCTGTTTTGGCCATCAGCTGCCTTAAATGTTCACACCACAGCTGAATACCTTATTCTACAATGCAGCAATTTTCCTGTACCTTTTTTATGCTTTGATGAATTATGTGCCTCCTTACATAAAATGTGTCTGCACACTTCTGAGATAAAAGGTGCTATTCTTCTGAGAAACGTGCACTCTCTCCTTGACACCTGTGAATTCAAAGATGGCTCCTGCCTGCTTATGACATGGGAATCAGCGACAAGTTTAAAAACTGTCATGAGACAGTAACACTCCAGTGCGGCAGCCAAAAGAGCATGTTCAAGAGGAGATCTGTCCCAAAAGAATCACACCAACTATATTTTCAGGATGAAATTTCTTACTTCTGCCATCTTTTGAGATAAATTATTTTCCTGCTTTCTATAGCAAATATAAAAAAGAATTGCTGGTCAGCAGATGAAGGGATACTAGGAAAGTTGCTGGAATGCAACTTTTATCTGATTAACCTTTTCCCCTGAATTCCAAACCTGTTATCTACCCTTTTCTTCTTCTTATAAAAAAGGCTGACTTGAGATGAGATGCTAAAGACAGTTTTTAGGATGCACAATCTACTGTCTTCTCAGATCACTGGCATCTGAATAAAGCCCCCATAAAGATTCAATCCCTGTCTTTACTTACTGGTTCTGGTAGAAGAGGCAGCACGAATGCAGGCTTTTCCAGTTTCAGGGGCATGTGGAAAATCTCTGTACCTTCCCCTCAGTTTTGCTATGAACCTAAAACTGCTCTAAAAAAGTCAAGTTGTTTTTTGGTTTTAAAAAACAGGCTAACAGAATAAGCCACTGATGAAAAGGCTCATGTTATTCTGAGATAACAAATATTCATAATTAAAATATTAAATATTGGACTTCTGGCCAAGATGGAGGCATAGGTAGACACACTGTGCCTCTTCGCACAACCAAAATAAACACAACAACAATTCAGAAACAAAAAAACAACCAGTACCAACAGAAAACTGAACTGTACAGAAGTCCGACAACCAAGGAGTTAAAGTAGACGCATTCATCCAAACCAGTAGGAGGGGTGGACTTGGGGAAGTGGGAAGGAGAGGGCTCCCGGCAGGGCGGCTGGCAGACCCTGGGCGCACAAAGCAGCAGTGGGTGGACCCAGTGAGGTGGTGGATTGTGGACAGGCATGGCGCACAAGGCAGCTGGCGAACGGGTGGTCCCACATTTGCGTGCAGATAAACCAGGCGAAACTGGGGAGCAAGACAGACCCTGCAACCCAGGGTCTCAGCAAGGGGAACTAAAGCCTCAAAACACCAATTGAAAACACCTGTGGGGGTTGAGGTGCCAGGAGAGACTCCCAGCCTCACAGGAGAGTTGGTTGGAGAGACCCACAGAGTCCTAGAATGTACACAAACCCACCCACACAGGAATCAGCACTAAAAGGGCCCAATTTGCTTGGAGGAAGCTGCAGAAATGACTGAAATCCAGCAGAGAGCGGAGGGAGTACCACTGTTCCCTCTTGGACCCCGCCCCCACATACAGCATCACAATCCAACAACCCAAGGACTGGGTCCCCCCAACCTGGTGAACACATAAGGTTCTGCCCCTCACTACGTAGCAGCTGGGTCAACACCAAAAAAAACACAAAAAACAAAAAACAAAAGGCCCAAATGAAAGAACAGATCAAAGCTTCAGAACACACACAACCAAGTGAGCAAGAAATAGCCAACCTATCAGATGCACAGTTCAAAACATTAGTAATCAGGATGCTCACAGAAATGGTTGAATTTGGTGACAAATTAGATGAAAAAATGAAGGCTACGTTAAGTGAAATAAAGGAAAATATACAGGGAACCAACAATGATGGGAAGGAAACTGGGACTCAAATCAATGGAGTGGACCAGAAGGAAGAAAGTAACACCCAATCAGAAAAGAATGAAGAAACAAGAATTCAAAAAATGAGGAGAGGCTTAGGAACATCCAGGAAATCTTTAAATGTTCCAACATCCAAATTATAGGGATACCAGAAGGGGACGAGGGAGAGCAACAAGTGGAAAAATTATTTGAACAAATAATAAAGGAGAACTTCTCCAGCCTGGCAAAGGAAATAGCCTTCCAGGAAATCCAGGAAGCTCAGAGAGTCCCAAAAAAGTTGGACCCAAGGAGGAACACACCAAGGCACATCAGAATTATATTAGCTAAGGTAAAAATGAAGGAGAGAATCCTAGAAGCAGCAAGAGAAAAGGAGACAGTTACCTACAAAGGAGTTCTCATAAGACTGTCAGCTGATTTCTCAAAAGAGACCTTTCAGGCAAAAAGAGGCTGGAAAGAAGTATTCCAAGTCATGAAAGGCAAGGACCTACATCCAAAATTGCTCTATCCAGCAAAGCTTTCATTTAGAATGGAAGGGCAGATGAAGTGCTTCCCAGATAAGGTCAAGTTAAAGGAGTTCATCATCACCAAGCCCTTATTTTACGAAATGTTAAAGGGACTTATCTAAGAAAAAGAAGATAAAAAACATGTACAGTAAAATGACAGCAAACTCACAATTATTAACAACCACACCTAAAACAAAAACAAAAGCAAACTAAGCAAACAACTAGAACAGGAACAGAACCACAGAAATAGAGATCACATGGAGGGTTAGCAACAGGGGAGTGAGAGGAGGAGAGAGGGGGAAAAGGTACAGAGAATAAGTAACATAGATGGTAGGTAGAAAATAGACAGGGGAAGGGTAAGAACAGTATGGAAAATGGAGAAGCTAAAGAACTTATGACACACGGACATGAACTAAAGGCGGGGGATGTAGGTGGGAGGGGTGTGCAGGGTGGAGGGGAGTGAAGGGGGGGAATAACACAATCAATAAAATATATTTTTAAAAAAGGAAAAAATTAAACATTATGTAAAATTAGTTTTCTAAAAACAATTTGTACTTTAGTTTTAATTTCTCTCCACATGTTATGGGTCTAAGACAGATCTGCTGAAAGGATTACATGAGTTAACCCAACCACTTGCAATTCACAGGGTGAGTACCCCCAAAATGTTACAGGCATACCTTGTTTTATTGTGCTTTGTTTTATTACATTTCACAGATGTCACAATTTATTTACAAACTGAAGGCAAGTCCCTCCACCGTCAAGATTAGGAACTAGCTTTATTGTGGTGGTCTGGAACCAAACGAAATATTTACTAGGTACAGTTGATTATTTCCAGCACCCTGGACAGCACTGGACACACAGTAGGCCCTTCCCAGTCCCAGGGGATCCAGCCAGCTGCAGAGAGAGGCTTAGTCTAAGGGAAGAGATGACCTGGAAGGCCTCTTGAGCCAATGGGATTGTCCACTAGGCAATCAGACGAACAGGCAAACAGACCTGCCTGAAGAAACTGGTTCAGCAACCTTTCTCTGCCTGCTCTAGGCCCAGTTCCCAGAGACGGCCTCTCTTTGATCTAGGAGGTTGAATTATTTCCCTGATTAGACAGATACAGCTCATGAGGCTTTAGAACTGTGTCCCTCACAAGCTTTCTTCCAGCGCTTCGGGTTGGGGAACAACTGCTCTGCCATATTCTATGGGTCACTTTCTGCAAATTGACTACAACACAGCCATGTGTAAAATGCTGGGAGGAGAGTCCCTTGTGATGGTTGGATTGGTAAATGGGTTTGTGTGCTTACAAATATTTGTTGAGCATGCTTGTGATCATATTTGTGTTCTACTAGGAGGGACAATTAGGAAGGTTCTTGATTTCCCAGCCTTTCTTGCAGTTAAGAGTGGACATGTGACTTTACATAGCCAATGACATACAAAGGGGAGTGGGTCTGTTGGGATTATTTTTCTTGACTAAAAAGGCAATGCTTTGCTCCAGGTATCCGCAGAAAGGTGTTCTTTGGGAAAGGTGAAGTGTTGGTGCTAATGAAGGGTACCGCTCTCCTAAAATGGTAGTAGCACGACCGTCACTGGCAATGAGTTCCTCTGAGTCTGCTATACAAAGCTCCTGATGGAAAGCAAAGGTATGTGGCAAAATAAAAATAATAGCTGGCATCCGCTCATGTCACTACTTGTTGTGCATCTTTTCAAGTGCAATACAAATATTAACACCTTTTCTCCTTGGCACAGGACCAAGAGGTAGGAATTATTATCCCCATTTACAGATGACAGAAGCACACAGACATTAATCAACTTGCCCAACACAGACAGTAAGTGGCAGAGGGGATATAAGACCCCATGTGATCAGGCTCCCTAATCAAAACTCTTCATTGAGAACTACACTAACAAGTATGAGTCTGGCCAGCCCTGAAGAAACCAAAGCTATCACTACCACACACGGAGTACTTCCTACGTGGTGACCTTGGAACTAAGTGCAGTCAGTGTGTGTGTAACCCTCTAAACACCTGCTGTGGTTAACACCATGACTTTGTCCACCGAAAAGACATGAGGTGATGGGACTTGGCACATGATTGGTAAGGACTGTGGAGGCCAGAGGGATAGGCATGCAAACCCGTGGACACTAGATCACGCCTCATGAAAACAGCTCCCAGGAGAAATTTTCTTTCACTATCAACCACATTACTCGCTCTCAAGGACATTCTTGGCCTCTCCTTGGCCACATGTGATAAAGGCCACGTGTACCCGGCCACAGAGAAAAGCAGGGCATGGAAGGAAACAGAGCAGAACTCCACACCCAGGTACTCCTAGAATCAAGGCCATGTTCCCTCCCTTTGATCATGAGGCTCTTGCAACTAGAATAGGCTCCCCTCAACCCCCACTTTCTTTAGCCTTAGAGGCCTTCCCTCTGTTCTGGAAGAAGCCACTCAGCTGCATAAAGAGAGAGCTCCAAGATGTGCTATCAAGTAAAATGAATGAATGAATGAATGAATGAATAAATGCAAATTGTGGGACATGGTGTAGAGTAGGCTACATTTTGT